TATTACTTTTATTAAAAAGAAATATAATCCTATCGATTTATTAGGCTTTATTCTCTATCTTAGTATTAATATCCTCTTAGTTAATATCCTCTTTAATAAGAGCGTCCTTATTAAGGATTATATCGCCCTATAATACTAGTAAGTAAAGTATTTCTTTAACTTAGTTTAAATATTAGCTAAGTAGAAAACTAGATTATTTTTAATTAATATAAAGATTAATTTATTTCCTATAGTTACTACTTAGTACTTACTACTTACTTTTAATTTTATAAGCGTCTTTAGTAATTATAATAGCTTTTTCTTCTTTACTTATATTTATCTAGGTTATAAAGAACTAGACTTTCTTTCTTAATCGTATAATAGCTTAATATATTATATTCTTAGCCTTTTTAAAGACTTTCTTATTATTAGTTATCTTAGTAATACGATCGCGCGCTTTCTTTATATTTATATTTATTAATAAGGTATCTTTTACCTTCTATTTTTTTAAAAGTATACTAAGTAGACGGCCTATTATAGATTAATATAAAGATTAGTATAAAGTAAATAGGAGTATTTAGGAACTCTTACTATATCGCCGTTACTCTTAATTATCTATAAAGAAGAGAGCTAAGAAATATAAAAATATCTAAAATTATTAGCTAGAATATTATATAAAATAAAGAGAGATATTACTTACCGTTTAATATATAGTATTAACTTAGGTGTTAAAAGTAAAATAAAAATTCCTAACGCTAAATAAAGACTAAATCTTTACTTTATATAGACTTACGTTTTACTAGAAATCGATTAGGTTAGTAGATCTTCGTAACTAAATAACCGTATTTTAATTAGCTAAGAAGCTTATTACTACTAGCTTATATTATTATAACCTTTCTTTTTTTTCTCCCCCCCTAATAAATATATACTAGCCTATAACCGCTAAGCCTTTAAGGTTAATATACTATCTATATATAAATAGCTTTATATTAATATACTAATTATTTATAGTAATCTTACTTTTAATCTTATAGTATGCGGCTAGTTTTTTAGCTAGCTAACTAGCGGAAAGACTCTCCTTAGCTAGAATATAAATACTAGCGGAAAAACTAGCGGTAAAGGTAAAGGGAAATCGGTTAAGCTAGTAAGTATTATTAAGCGTAAATAAAGATTTAAGCTAGGTAGTAAGTCTTTATTTATCTTTTCTTACTTAAACGTAATAAGATTTAAGTATATTTCTTTTTTAGATTATCTACTAATTTTAATAATAGCTATTACTTTACGCGAACTTCGAAAATTCTAGTAAATTCCCGATTTACTTATCCCTTATACCTCGTTCGCCTACCTTATTCGAGAAGTTATATAAGATATTACTCCTAGCCTTTATATCTAAAAGGTAGTATTAGTAGCTATCTAGGATTTAGTAGAGAGTATACTAGCTACTATATTCTAAGGTAAGTTAATATAATTATTATACTAATTATTATACTAACTAGCGACTATAAATAGTAATAAGATAGCTAGCTATCGCGGCTAGAAGAGTTATAATTTAGTAAAAAGATATTACTACTCTTAAGGATATTATTAGTATCCTTAGGAAATAAGACTAGTCTTTCCTAGTTTAAAATAAAGCTACTATATATACCTTATTAAAAGTTATTATATTAATCGTTTATACTAACCTTTTTCCTTTAGTATACGGTTCTGCCTTATAGCGTAACTTTTCTAATTTATTAAGAGTCGAAAAATAAAAGCTTCTATAAAGCACGCGACTACTAAATATTAGAGAAGCGCGTGCTTATATAGTTTAGGCTTAAAGAGATAATTTTAATTAGAAGCGGAAGTAGTTAAAGGAGCAACGATAATTAAAGGTATAGCGAAAGAAGAAAACTACTATTATAGAGATTAATAGTAAGGGGAGTAAAAATAAAGATAATTCCGACTATAAATAGCCTTAAACGATTAAAAAGACCTATAAAGTCCCCTTAGATAATAAGGCTAATAAGGATAAAATATTTAAAGAATTACTATAATCGTTAGGTATAAAAGAGCCTATAATAACTATAGATAGGCTTAAGCTTATCTTAGCCGGCGGGAAGTATAAGGGTAGAAAGTTAGGAGTAAAAGAGGCTAAAAATATCCTAGCTCTAAATTAAAGATAAGGAGATAATTAATATAATTAATTAGTACTAGACTTCTAGTTCTTTAATCTCTATAAATTCGCTTAACTAAAAGTAACTTTAAATAGGAATTAACTAAGTTATTTTAGGGTAGTCTAGGTACCTAGCTTTACCTAAAGTATATATTAATAACCTATAAGTAAATATAGTCTTTTATCTTAAAACCTATTTCTACCTATAGACTAGACTGAAAAAATTAGGCGGCCTATAGGTAGCCACGGGCGCCTAATTTTAAAGTCTAGCTCTGATAAGAGATATAGCTGTGCCTCCCGGGGCGTTACGGCGGTAACGGAGGGAACTTAGGAAAGCAGCAGCATTGACGTTGTATCTTTTAAGGCTCGTGCCGCTAAAATCTCCTCGCCGCCAGTGAAAACTAAAAAGACCTCATTTCTTAAGCTATTAAAAGGAATGTCTCGGGTAGTGCCGTGCCCTTCGAGCTCTGACCGTGATAATCCGTAGGGACACACCAAAGTAAACGCCGCCCGAAACACCGTTAACGACGAAAATGAAGCGTGGAGATGAATCTAGCTGAGAAGTGCGGGCTGTAGACGCCGGACGGCATTGGAGGCGGCGCTGGAATGCAACTCTGATTGGCAGGAACAACATGTCCAGTCGCCAGCTTCCTAATACCGCCAGGTGCATATGAATTCTTGCGAATACGAATCACTGCATCTTACGTACCTGTCTTGGAACTGGCAAATCAGCGGGCCCAGGATGGAAAACGCTCGTTGAAGGCAACTTGTTGTGAGCCGCGGCAGGTGGCAATATCAGACCATGATCCCGAAATAGCTCTACTAGCGCGAATACAAGCACGCACTTGCCGGGTAGGCTACCTGTTTTCGAAACAAGCTAGACATGGGCCGCCCTTGGGCGAAAAAATTAGCCTCAACCAGCACAGCCACCGGCCTATGTACTCCGTACATGCAAAGTCGACGAGGAAGCCGTGGACCACGGAGTATTTCAATCCTACGCCGATCTCGTGGGTAAACTAAATAAACAGATTTAAAACTTAAGCCAATTCAGCGTTACTGTTGCCTTTTCTCCTCATCCTAACAAGGACAAGAACTCGCATAAGACAGGCGACGGCTAGGCATAATTGTTGTTAAACAAAAATTTAGATGAGCGTCGCTAGCTAGGCTGCACGGCGACGACCTACCCTGTAGAGAGAGCCGGCCCGGAAACGCCTTCGAGGGCACGACTGTAAGGCGGCACCATGGACTTTGTATCCAATACGGATAGATGCTCTGATCGTGACTTCATCCCGAACCCGGGTAAGTGCAGATCTACCGCCGCCAATTGCGGCTGCGCGTGGGGGCTACAGTAAAGCTCCGCCATTTAGTGAAGGTCTCGGCGTCAATACTTGTCGATCTTTTCACTCGTGCCGCCCTTCACGCCGCTCTCTCGATCCTGGACTTTTATTGCCTGTATTGTTGTCTCCTATACTCCTGCACGCATCCTCGTATGTCTAGGCGCACAGATACGGAGCAAGCAACTTAGATCGAGCTTTGTTAGCTATCCGGTCGCGACGAATTATCCAAGCCCCGACTGGAACCCCTTATGACGTACTATGACCCTGCAGTCGTAGCCAAATTGGCCGCCGCACGTTACATGCAAGCAGTGCGTTCCGAATGCTGAAAAATCGGTTATGTGTACAACGACGCTTAGCACTGTTGGTCCTCCCGTCAGCACCATGTACGTATCATGGCGATCTTGACGATTTTGTAGAGCTGCCATCCTGCCTGGGGTCGCAGGACAGTATGAGGCTCGGGACTTTGCTGGCGACTTAAGGCGTTGGGAGGGAATCGCCGCACTGTGAGATGATCTGACCTAACACCGTAGCCCGCGCCACTTGTCAGCTGTCTGTGTGTCTCCCCCCTTTTGATCTTCCGGCAAAGATATGCCGATCTTCCCCTTGACCTAGGCCTGTATGTCTCTCAGCCACAATTTCGCGGGAAACAAAGATAGAACGACGGGTGGACTAACCGCTTTGCCTTTTCCTGGGAAAAGGGAGAGAAAAAACCAAACCTGGGCAACGGAAGACGTAGTCATCTAGCATCATGCTTGCCTGATTCGAGCGAGAGGCACTTCGCCATTCAGCCCCCATTTGCGCAATGCTCAGGGGGACTTACTCGATGAAAAAGGCTTCAATACACGTATTGCGGCTGACCGTCTTTCGCCAGGTAACTCTTCCCGTACCGCCCCGGGATCGAACAACGCGAGCTTAAGCAATCAGCTCGTCATCAGGTTCCACGGTACGTGAGATCGCGAGCCAAGACTGGGTGCATGAGCGTTACGCGACTGGCCTTTCAGCCCTCGCAGATCCCGGAGAGTCGGGTAGCAGCGCATACTATCCAGCGCCTCCGGTTGTACTGTACGTTAACAACATGGCTTTCCGTCTCTCATTTGTTGGGCATGTCTACGCTAGTACCTTGCGTTGGTGCCTTCCGAACCCTGAGCAATCAGCCTCAGTGTTTCAGCAGGCACATCCTCTCGATACGATGGCATCCTTGAACGCTGCCGGAGCCTGCTCTAGCCTCCACTTCAGCTTCCCGGCGCTTCCTTTTCACAGACTGTAGGTGCACAGGAGAGAACATGGAAGAGCTGATCGGGCGTGCACGAATATGGTGATTCCTTCTGCCTTGCCAACATGCGTGGAATCAGAAAAGGAACTTCCAGCGCCACGCGCGAGGAGACTTGCACGCCCTGAAAAGCAGATATATAAATATCAACATCCGCTCACAGGATATTGAGAAATCTTGCTCTGTACACTCCTCATTCTTTAACCATTCTCTCCTACCTTATTTCGCTCAGCATTTTTTATTCCATTCACATCAGCCCAACATGAAGTTTCTCGCTGTTGGCACCGCCTTCTTGGCCACGGCACTCGCCGCACCAACTGACAAGGACTATCCCAAGGACGGAAAAGATGTAGAATACAAGAAGCCCGGACAAGGCGACTACGGCTGGGACTCTAAGCACGGCGGTTACGACGACTATCCCAGGCACGGCGGACATGACAAGTACCCGAGCACCCCCAAGCATGGCGGGGATGTGTTCTCTTGGGAGCCCAAGCACGGTGGGAAGGACTACTACCCCAAGCCCGGCGACCGCAACTATGGCCAGTATGACGACCAGGACCACTACCACAAGCACGGCGGCAAGGACTACTACCCCAAGCACGGCGACCTCAACTATGGCCAGTATGACGACAAGGACTACTACCACAAGCACGGCGACCGCAGCTATAGCCAGTATAACGACTACTATCCGAAGAACGGCGACAGCGGTGGCTACCCCAAGTACGGCCATGGCGGCAACGACGGATATTCTAAATACGGCCATGGCGACAAGGACCACTACCACAAGCACGGCGGCAAGGACTACTACCCCAAGCATGGCGACCGCAGCTATGGCCAGTATGACGACTACTATCCGAAGAACGGCGACAACGGTGGCTACCCCAGGTACGGTCATGGCGGCAACGACGGATATTCCAAATACGGCCATGGCGACAAGGACCACTACCCTAAGCACGGCGGCAACGACGGCCCCAAGGATGGTGGAAACCACGGTTCCAAGGATGGTGGCTACGATGCCCCCAAGGACGGTGGCAATCACGGTCCCAAGGATGGCGGCTACGATGCCCCCAAGAACGGTGGCAAGGATGGTGCTAAGCATGGCGGCTACGATGCCCCCGAGGACGGTGGCAAGGATGGTGCTAAGCATGGCGGCTACGATGCCCCAAAGGACGGTGGCAACGACAACTATCCTGTCCCTAAGTAGGGTAATTAAGCTATGTCGTGGGTTAAGAAAGTTGCCTTTGCTTTAGATTTTCTTGGCATCTTAGTTTCCATAGTTGCCTTTCCATTTTGTCTCCGCAATTTACATACATCTTTAAGCCATTGCCTAAAAGCCTATGTGGGTTAATGTCTTATGAACATTGACTCCCGAACCCGATGTGTATGCTGAGTTGCGGCTCTTAACCACTGAAAGCTTACTAGACCAGCCAGATATAAGACTCGCCTTAGAGCAATAGGCGGGGTTCAAGATAATATATTCGAGTCGAGTTCGATTAGTAGCGTCTAGAACCGAATTTAAGTAGACGCCCCCTTCGCCCCCCCCCCCACGGCTCCTAGTATATTATCACGTTTGCCCTAAGTCAGCTCACCTACTTAGGGGCACACCTACTTAAGGGCACGTTTCTATAATACTAACGCGCCGACTAACTCGTGTATTATAACCGCGAATTCTCGTGCATCTTATTCTTAATTATTATTAAAAAAACATTATTCGAATTAGTAATATCTTAGCTTTCTAAATATACCGAAGATTAGCTTTAGAACGCTGTAGTTAATATTAAATTCGGCATAGGTTAGGTATAGGCTAATTAGAAGTAGGGTATTCTAAGGACGATACTTTAGAAACGCCTTAAAGGTGCTTAACTAAAGAGAGAGGCATTTTAACGGGTAAGATCGCACCCCTATAGATATTAGCCCGTTAAAGGGATAAGACCCCTAGCACTTCCTATCTAACTTACTTCTAAGTATACTTAAAGGCTTTATAAAGACCTTAATTATCTAATAAGGCACCTTCCTTAATTACGGTTAATTTAAATTTTTATTTTTTCCCTTTAAAGTAAAGGCCGCTAGTTACGCGACTCTAGTAAAGATAAAGAGGTATAGAGTAAAGAAATCTCTAAGACTTATATTTATAACCTAAGACCCTTAGAGGTATATATAGGACCGATAATTAGATAATTATATAGTTAATTACTTTATTAATCCTTAGCTATATACTACGCATGCTTTAGGTATATACCTTTATCCCTATTAAAACTAGTCTCTAAGGTATAAACTCGTTATTCCGTTTTATTTATATAGCGATAAGTAGCTTTATAAAGCTAAGAATACCTAGAGGACGATAGTATTATTTAAAAAAAATAAAATCTAAGGATTTAATAATTAAAGTAGTAACTACCTTAATAGCTAGAGTTAGAGACCTAATAAGGTAATAGACTTACTAGGAAATAAATAATTAGATAATACCTTTACTAATAGTAAAGGAAAAGTAATAAGCTAATACTAAAAAGCCCTAAGCTCTTATTATCGGCCCTATAACCCTTAATACTAGCGACTTAGTTAAGAAACTATAATCCTTATATAATACTTTAAAAGATATAAATAATAACGATAGCGTAATCTAGACCGTTTTAAAACCCTACTAAGACCTCTTACTTATATATATACTAATAATACTAATATAGGTACTAATAAAGGATACCTTAATAACCTTAACCTTAGCTTTCCTTTACGCGGTAGCTTATAAAGAACGCTTACCTCCCGTTAATAGATAAGAAAATAAATAATAAGATAGTTATAATAAGATATCCTTTAACTCCGAAAACTTTAACTTTAAATTTTATAACCTTATAATCTATAAGTATACTTTACTTAGAAACGCTAGCTATTAAGAGGGATTATTTAATCTTACTACTAGTAATATAAAAAATATTAAGGTAGATATTAATAAGATTACTAATAGACTTAAAGATATACTTATTAAAAGCTAAGATAACTTTATAAGAAGACTTTACTAACTATAACTCTTACTTATTAGTAAATTTAATAGTAAAAACATAACTAAATTCCTTAAGAAGTTTAAATAAGAGATATATATTAACTATATATATAATAAGGATAAAGTAGACTAGCTTAAAGTCTATATCTCCTTTATATAAGCCCTTACTATTAAAATTCTTATAAACGGACTTACTTAAGAAGAAGTAAAAAAGAGACTCCTTTAATACTACTATATATATAATATTAAATAACTAGAAACTACTAATAACCGCTTAAACTATTATAATACTAAAAAGCCTTAGACTATTATAGAAGTTATAAAATAGCTTAATCTTTACTTATACCTATAGTATAAAGTATAACTTAATAGCTAAGAAGAATCTATAGTATAGTTATACTTTATTTACTATATAATACTAAAGGAACTTATTATTAATATTATAAAGAGAAATAAGAAGATATTTAAAGTTATCTTAAAACTCTTATATAAAAGCCTTATCTATATAATTAATAACTACTTAGTACCTTACTAAGACGTTAAGCGATAAGATATAATATTTAAAGTTTATAATTAAAAGCTTAAGAACTTAAAGAAAGATTAGCTTTTTAAAGAAATTAATAAAGTAATAAAGAAAGCTAAATCTAATAAGGGTAAAGAAAAACTTCTTAAAGAGTTAAAGAAAATAAATAAGAAACCTAGATAGCCTATAAAGGAGATCTTAGACTTAATAAAAGCCTTTAAAGATATAAAGATTAACCTTACTTATTAGTAAAAGTAGATATTTAACTAGCTTAATAAGGAATAGAAATATATTAATAGTAAAAGCTACTCTTTAAGTTATAAATAAAGAGGTAGAGTAAATACTATCGGATTTTACTACCTATTTAATTAATATATATAGTTTTAGGTTAATACTTTTAACTAGCCTAAGAAATACTTTTATTATAGTAAAGAAGAATACTACCTTAATAAGTATAAGGTATACTCTTAGGACTATAAGATTAGATTTATAATATATAAAGTAGTAAATAAGACTCTTTACTTTAAAAGAAAAGATAATAAAAGCGTAATTCCCCTAGTACTTATTAATAGGTTTTCTTAAATAAGTATATATATTTAAAGGTTTATTATATATTAGGTAGATATATAGCTAGACTCCTTTATATTACTACTTATAAAATAAGTTAAAGCTATAGTTATATTAGTTTACTTAAATTAAGCTACTAGTAAAAGAGAATATAGTTTCTTAAACTAGTTCTAGAAATATAGAAGCTTATATAAGTAGAAGCTAAGGAATCTAAAAGTAAGTAATATAAAAGAAAAGTAAGAAGGATATCGGCTATTATAATTATAGATAATATATAATAAAGCGATATATATAATTAAATAATCTATATAACTATAATAAGGATTAATACTTATAAGGGGAAAAGATAAAGAGTTAAAGAGGATATAAAGGAAATTAAGATAATAAGAATAGTAAAAACTAGCTTAAAGATTATCCCTATATATTATAGATATAAAGTAGATCTAAATAGGAAGTTTAATAGACTTATAGATAAAATCGTTAAAGAAATTATATATAAAAGAATCCTAATCCCTTTAAATTACCTAATTAACTTTATTCTTTAACTAAGTAAGAGACTTAGTATAAGATATATAGATATAGCCTAAGGTATAAAAATAATAAATTCTAGACCTTAGAGAAAGTAAAGAGTAATATAAGATATAAAGCTATAATAATAGTTATAAAAGTAGCCGAAGATAATATAAAGAGTAGTTTACTCCTCCTTAAATATCTATAAAGAAGACTTATAGTAGCTTTAATATAAGTTAAAGAATAAGATAAAAAATACTAGGTCGAACTAATTAAGCTTACTTACCTTACTTATAAAGAATTAGATTATAAGTACCTTAAAGTTTAATAAGTACTAAAGAAATTTAGGTTTATAACTAATATAATTAGCGTAATATAACTAGCTTAAGGACTATCTAATTAATAAACTTTAAAGGTAATAAGACTAAGGAAAGATAAATTTATTATATAAGAAGTAGTACTCTTAATAAGATACTAAGAGATAACTTTAAAGGACCTTATAGCGATTCTTATAATATATATAAGTATAGTCCTTATACCCTTCCGCTTACTTAAGTATATATAAGACCTACCTTATATTTAGGTATAGCTTAGTAGCTAGAAAGCTAAAGTTCTAAGCGCCTTAATTAATACTAGGTTTAAAGGAAACCTTATTACTAAAAGATATATAAACGTATATAAGCTTAAAATCCTACTAATAAGAGTATTAACGACGGTATATACTAGGTCCCTTATAAATATAGTTAAGGAGGTAGAGACTAATCTCTATCTATATATAGCTTAAATACTAATCTATCTTTATATTATATTAAATAGAGTCTTAGTCCTTTTTATCTTAGGTATACTATTTATTAAAGCCGCGTATATATTATTTAATTATTTCTTAAGGAACGGCGATATATAGGTTTAATATTAAATCGGTACTATCTAGGTAATTATATTAGCGGTAGGAGCTATTAAATAAGAGCTTTTAAATAAGGTCGATATAGTAAAATCCTTTTAAACTATAACCTTAATAGTTAATAAAGATATAAATAAAAGACTAAAGCTTAAGGAGACTATATAGGAAATAGCTACCTAGCTCCTAAGAATTTCTTTTTAGCTTTAGTAATAAAAGTTAAAGAAGATAACTTAAGAGCTACCTAATAATTATAGAGAGAACCCCTTATAGATACCTTAATAGCCGAGATTTTCTTACTAAGAGGTAAGATCCTTAGTTATAAAGGGGGCGCTAACTAAGTCCTTAACCTAGCCTATACTAATATAAATAAGCCCTTAATAGCACTAGTATAATAGTAATTAATTATAGATAAAGGAGATAAAGCGATTCTAGCTATTAGATTTAAAATAGTAAAAGAGATTATTAAAGTTATAGTTATAGAGGCAATAAGAGAATTTAAGAAAAATATTATTAAAGCTAGAAAGAAGTTTAGAAAGATTTAAAAGGTTAAAGTTAAGATAGGGAGGAAATAACCTATTAGATTATATAATTTAAGAGCTAATACTCTCTTTAAAAGAAAAGTAAATAAGATTAACCTTATTAACGATACTTTATTAGATAGCTCGATACTAGAAAGGGACCCTAACTAAAAGAAGACTAAATAGA